TCAAAAATATAGAATCTCTCGTTGATTACAAGTCTAGATATCGTAAGCAATAGCAAGATCCTTTTAAAAAATAATCTCCTCAAGTGGTCGAGGCAGGATTTCACCTCTAGACATTTCACTTAACGGTATGTTACTCTCCAACTAAGCTTTGCCGTCTGCGACTTAAGTCGTACTCGATAGATTACTCGAAAATGTGTTTTCATAAATTTTCCATTTACAGTGTATATGCTTTTAGAGATTAACTTGCTTTTTCACCTTTGCAGGCGATATGAATTTGAAAAGAAGTTTCACACCGCAAATCTTTAAACTAACGTCATACCGTCAAAAAAAATATTCCAATCGTCTTTTATCTTTTCTATGCTGCTGCTTAAAGTACTGTAGTCTGCTATTTCATTTTATTATACTCACAAAATACCTACAAATGATTTTCTTAATTAAGAAAAATATCAACTGGCCATGGTTCCAGTCCCGGTAGTGCTCATAACTTCGGTAGTTGTGTGTAGCATCGGTGTAGTATATCTAGTATCAGATTCTTTTGTGATATTAATGTAAGATACTAATCGAACAAACTGAAACTCAATTTGTTTTTTATACCACGATCTAGCGAGCTAAATTAACCTTATTTCGAAAAATAAAAATAAATTATTTTCATTTCATATTTGTCGCGCTATAGGATATCATTATTTTAAATTTATATTACACGAGATTATAAGTACAGTAGAACCTCGATAACTCAAACCTCGGTAACTTAAAAACTTCAAAAAATAATATGTTCCCTTCCCAACAGAGCCCAAAACCTCAGTTACCTAAAATACGCAACCTCAGTAACTTAAATAAGTAATCTCTGTATTGGCCCTCAGTAACTTAAAGAAATGCTTCCACGACCTCTATAACATAAAATTGTTTGTCAATGACTCATTTTGAAAGAGAGTGCATAACAAAAGATTTCACTATTTATTGCTTGCAGGTGTTCACTAGTTAAGTTGTTAACGTAAAAAACACATATGTCAACCATTGTTTGCTTCATCGAAATTCTTTAAATCGATTTAGAAACTGTGAATTATTTAAAACAAAAAAAATCACAGACTTTTTAAGTAGACTAAACCTTTAATTGTTGTTTTATTTTCATTTAACATGTGCAATGAACCTGTCCTTCTGACGCATTCGAGTAAAAATAGGAACAAGGGTACATATATATATATATATATATATATACATCCCTACCTCTATATTAACCTATCCCTAACACAGACCCTTGATAATTTAAAACCTCTATAACTTACTTGACTTTAACTTATCGAGGTTCTACTGTAATATACTGGCTGCACCAACTAAAACCATGAGTACTTTGAAAAAGTACAGTCTTTGTTACACGCCAACATCGTAAATAAAACTTTATTTTGCTGAAAAAAACCTGTTAAGCAATTTTTTAGTTAATGGATTACAAACAAAACAACTAAAAGTCAAATGTTATGACATGTCTGAACTTTTTAATTAAGGAATCTACACAGATTTTGCTGTAGTTGCCATATTACTGAGAGTATAAATATAACTTTATAATTGCTACCAACTTGTTTGAGCACGTAACTTAAACTGAGTCATATAGTCGACGTCTAATGTACGGCAGTACTATTAAATTAATAAAACAGCGTCGAACGCCGCGCCACACACAGCGCTGTCACTGCATCAGAGGTTCAGTCTAGTAAAACATACTTCAAGAAGTAATATATATTTTTTATATTGAATCTCTAATTTTGAGTCAGCGCTGTGTCGGAAAAGAGGTTATTTTAATATTGTAGACACTCTTGTTTTTTTTAATTTGTATAGTTGGAGGCATATATCCAAAAACGTGTTTGTACCCGGCAACTTTATGGAAAGGAACCAATTTTTTAATATTTTGGACTATTTCACTCATTTAATACACGTTTTTCATGAATAACAGAGCGCTTGGTGTAAGTTTTTTTGACGTTTACGTTTACCATCGATCGTGATCGCGTTAAGATTTTGGTATGAAATCCGGTACAGCGCCCCTAGCGGTAACTACCAAGAACTACAAATCTCCATACAAATTCTTAACGCGCTCACTAGTTAACGCGTTAGTGTAAAACTTACACTACCACTCTGATGAGGGGAGGTGATAAAAAAAATGATATCCTACACGCAAGTTGTTTACACCTACGAAGTATTAAGTTGTTTTATCTTATTTCGAAAAATTAATATTGAACCACATAAGACAATGGGTCATCGGTGTAAAATACGTGTACAAGGAATAAAAGAACTATTCCGCCAAGTAGATTATTAAAGTAAATTATACGCGTAAGTAGAGTGTTTTATTTTATTTTATTTATCGCGTAATCAATAAATTACGACGATACATAGAGTCAAAATTTCATATGACGTCACACCTTTGTACATTTCATAGTTGTGACGTTGCTATCCAACACTCACCAACTTTAACGCTCATTATCTAAACCATTTCTGGTTAAATTGAAGCAGAAAAAAAAACGTTTCTCATATTTTTGTATTATTTGACTGGCGGACTAAATAGAATTTCTGTTTACCCGACCGCAAGGGAAGGGTTATGTTATTTTTTACCTAGTCATCGTCCCTATTCGCTGAAAACCGATAATACATAATAAAATACATTTACATACAACATATCCTCTCCAACTTCTCTTAAAACTATTAAACCTACATAACATTGATTACGATCAAATATTACATACCTTAACTAAACGAATTAGGAAATCACCTACTTCAGCGTTGTTGTTGATGTTGGTACGATATATCTTGTTTCTATTACTTGGCTCTCTAATCCGTAATTGGAATCAACACGCTGTATAAAATATCAAATTTCATAATCTTTCATGATCAATCTAGCATCTTATTGTAAAACAAGACTAAAATAACTACTTAGTTTAACCCATTGGCCTAACGCAAATTGACAATGACAGGAGAGTTTACGTCAAATTGAGACGTTTTAAATTGATCGGATAATAGTTTAAACCTGGTACTAAAGTACTTCTCGGTTTATAATACGACGGTAGCATTAATACCACATTAACCAATCCAGCGTGATTCCTGAAACGTCTAGTTTCTAATTTATTTCGCAATATTCAAAATACTATCACAGTTTATATTAGGTACGTTGTTTATTTGAAATACTTCCGAAAACATACATCAACTGTTCAACCAAAAGCAAGGGCCTTGTGCTCTCAAAAAGTTTTCACTCAAACATTTTGCACAGCAGCTATTTCATAATAGTAGTTTTCCATGGAAAACCTTTCGAGCATATTAATACGGATTCATCATATTATTGTTCTGTGTATTTCGCTTTACATTCGCGTTTCGGTATGCTTTTGATCGTATTGAATTGAGTTCGCAGTTCCAGGAAGATAGCTTTTTATTAGTGCAACATACAAAATCTTTGTTACGGGTTTTATACAGAATCAATTATATGCATACTATATTTAAGCGTGACACAAACGTTACCACTTTTGAGTCTAATATGGAACCTAATTATTTTCATATAATTAAAATCAGGGGAGCTCAAAGGCGCAGTAGCTAGCGTATTTGGTATATCATACTTTCGCAAATGTCGGTCATAGGATAACTGATCCAAAATTATTATCTCCCATTCCTTCTTGCTTTACAAAGCACGTTCACCTATTGGTTCTAGCTTCTTCTGCAGTCATTAACAGCGCAATGACTGCAGAAGATACTAGAACGCAGGCTTAGTTCAAAAGTACGAACTAAGCCTGCGTGCTAGTTATGGCCGGTTCTCACTATTTGATTTCATGCATAGGACAGCTTGGGCCCAACAGCGAAGATAATAATAGAGTAATAAGCCACTATGCTTAGACATAGATACATTTTGTGTTCAATTACTTCCAATCAATCCATAAATATACTGTGTTACTAGACACTAAAATTCGATAGTTAAAGACACGCAACATCAACAGAAGTAGCAACTGGTAACTGCCTTCTATTAACGCTATAGGACTCAATAAATATTGTTCCTGGGATAGCGTGCAGGGTCGAATAACTAAAAGTGTCTACATTTGCGTAGCAGCCTACAATTTGCTAGAGAATCGGTGAACATACGTAAAAAATAAATACCCGTCGAACATAACAATCTCCTTTTCAATTTTAAATTCAGTTAAATATTAAGAACATTCTAAAGGACCGGCGATTAACATTAGCATCACAGGAATTTTAAGTAGTCTCAAAGGTACAAAACTTTACTTTGTACCTTTAATACCCTTAAATGGTTCAAGTAATTTTTACGATATTATTGCCATAAAAAATATGGTTTATAACTTATTAAAAGTTCTAAGATATATTCAGAGCTGCTGAACTAATTTATTAGTGATCTACATTTACACAGGAGATACTTTGGTGTTTCACGCTCCAGTTTACAACTTAAAGTACACAATATAATAGTATAAAACACAATATTAAAATAAAAATACTATTATATTGGTAGAAATTGTGTTGCACAAATTAGACTAAGTAAGGTTTAAAGTTGTCACACTGGATTTTCAATTGTGAATATAATCACATACTCAACACCATGGGAGAGCGGACTATTTCTGGTACAGCAATGTATTATATATAAAAGAAATAGCCCATTACAATTTCAAACATTCTGGTTTTCAATTTTTTTTTTTTTAATAACAGACGTAACTTTTTTTATTGTAGATTACATGAATATTATATATCTCTTTGATAACGTATAGCTATGTTAAAACAAACCCAAGTTAAAATTAGATATTTTTTTAGTTTAGTTTAACTTTAATAATGATACGACAAAATTGGCAATATACTCGCGATAAAATTTATCCACCAGTACAGTATTTGCGAATGTGTGCTAATGATATGCAATGCGACACACACAACAACAATAAGAGAACGCATCGAGATCGACGGAACGGCAGAAATACCGCGAATTCGTTATCATTATCGGTATCAATGAGGAGATGCGCAAGCGCAGAATGCCATGCGGTGTCTACGCCAGTCTACCGGTGGCTGCGGTAGGTGCCGCCTGTGTCTCCCGCGCACCAACGGATTTACCTCGTTCAACCACGTGCTATAAATATGGTGAGTGACCTGTAAATTTATTTTAATATTTTCAATAGAACATAAACTTTAATTATTTTTATTAGATTAAAAAATATATATATAATGGTGAGTTCCATTTCTATCCTTTACTACAAAAAAAAACTTAAACTTTTATTTCTAATGCACAGCTACTTGTGTTAAGAGATACTTCTCAACCGCATTATCTTACGTAAATTGCTTTTATATGGTTTTTGACAAGAACAATTATAAAGGAATTACTAATCTCTTATTTAATAAATTATATATTAACAATACATCATTCAAAAATTAAATAAATACGTGTCGATTAAAAAGCATTCATTATTTTTATCGTATCAAAGATTAAATAAAACTATATCATAATATACTCGTACAAGTTGAACGAATTTCCATTAGTAGAATAATTTTCTGCTAATTAGCATGTATTTTTATAACCGAATCAGCTAAGAAAAACAACAGTTGTATTGTTGCTTATTACGACATGCTATGTCAAATTAAACGTTAGCAAATTTATAAAAAAAATGTAGCACTGCATATCTTAATTTAATGACTTATTTTTCTTTACAAAATTTATATGTATAAAATAAAGTCAAAGAAATTATTCACAACAGTTATTTATTTATTAATTGGAAGGCTCTGCAAAAATTTTAGGTCAGTCAATGTTATTATACGCATAGTAATTATGCAGTTTACCTTGCTATCGTCCATATTTATAGTCGAGGAGAAATAATAACTTATGCGAATATTTTTAATCAATATACAAAAATGTTTAGACAAAGCTGTAAATTCTTTATTATCTATCAATATCAATCCTAAGTACAATATAGCTATAAATTACTTAAATTAAAAAACACATATATATTCATTTCTATCTGTAGGGCAGGCCTATGCCCTTGCAGTGGAGACATTAAAAAGCTAATGATGATGTAATTTTTCATCAAAATCCTCTGCACCTCACATGAGGGCCCCATCGACATATATATCATTTTCAATTGGAATTCTCTATACAAAATACAATAAAACAGAAAAAGGGGAAAAAGTAACTGTGCCGGTTCACAACAAGGTCTCAAGGCCGTAGATTTTCGAACAGATATCATAGGTTGCATTCGTGAGACCCAATGAAAATGGGCCTTATCATTAGTTTGAATATACAAAAGCTTATCTTATAAATAATAAGTATACCTATAGTTACGTATCAACTAAACTTTAATATACGTATCTTCATAGATCACATGATTTCTATTATGCTTTCAAATACTATAATTTCAAGGATAAGCAAATCTGTTGTACATTTTCCTCCTTTATCATTTTATATAACAGTTTATGACTTCCATAATTCCAACTATTCTAATGGCAATACAATTTTATTTGACCACTAGATGTAACTTTGTATGCCGGTGGATTCTATCCGTTAGGGTTTAAGTAGCATTTTGGTAATTTTAACTTTTTGGTGGTAAATCCACGTGTAATACATTGCACATGGTGACACGAATTATAAAACGTCAAGTTTCACTTACACCATTGAACTGTTACAGTAATTAGGAAGGCACTGGCTCCCATAATACAGTTTAAACTAGTATGGGAGACAGGTCACGAAGATTATTGTACTGTTATTGGAAATAAACTTATTATTATTATCGTAAAAACATTATTTGTTATATGCACACACACTTTTAACCGTATACTGGATCATGAAACATTTCGAAAAGTGAAATATGTTTTAGAAGTGCATTGAAAGGTAAATAATTAGTAAGTTATTCACGTTATTTATCTTTTTTGCTCACACATTTTGCTATGAAAGCTATCAAGTAAGTGTCAAGCTTCAGATTTACACTTTCAAATATATATCCCAATTCGGAACTTTATGAGCCGCGCTAGAAAAGATATATTTTGCACTTCAGCCCTTATTCATGGAATCCATCGATATATTCCAAACTCCAATCAGAGTTGAAACTTGTTCTTTCAGACGTATTCGAAATATCGTTTAGAGAAAATTGTTTACAAAAAGATTTTCATTTCATCTTACATTATAAATTACAAGCAATTCCTTTTGTTTACTATTAATAGATTTGATCATTAAAGAATGAACGGAAATAATAAATAATTGTCTGTCTAATAATAAATATTAAGCTATGATGAAATCAGAATTCAATCAATTTCTTTATTAATTTGCTTGGACACAATATTAATGAATATTTTGAGATCATAAAAGTAATTAAATATGGCTTGATTAAGAAAAATGTTGTGTTAAATATTTGACGACCTCTGTAGCCATGTTGTTCGCACGCCGGTTTCAAGATGTCGCCATCTCTGAGGTCCCGGGTTCGATTCTCGATCGGTTCAATATAGAAAAAGAACTTTTCTATATTGCCTCGGGTCCGGGTATTATGATAGCTTCGTTTTCTTATACTATATTTTATAATAACGGAGGCTTTATTTGTTGTTTCTTTAATATTAATTTAAATAAATAACTTGCACAAAAAAGAAATACTAACCGTCTTATTAATAACAAAATGAGGACTAAAATAAGTATAGTTAGTTTAATGTCCTCTTGTTAGTTAGTCTAATGTCATCGCGAGTAATGATTCGCTTGCTTAATTTCATACATGTTTAATAACAGAAAAAAATGTGATTTAAAGACTATATAAAACCTACTTTTGCATATATTTATATATAAGTAAAATGAAATAAATATATATGGATATATAGAGCCAATTATTGAAATTTATGTTTCTATTTTTCGCAAGTAATAGATCGTATATTTAATTTACATAAAATGATTTGAATTTGGCAATGGCCTTAGAATAAAAAGAGTTTAAAAAGAGGTCATTTCTAACAACCTCGGCCATTACCCGCCTAAATCAAATTGACAAATGCGGAAGAGAAAACGTCAAATTGAGACATGTTGACTTATTTTGGTGGGATGTTGCTTTAAACCTGGTACTCCTCTTAAGTTCTCTTAACTTAGGACCCTCTTAACTACTTAAGTTCTCGTTATCGGGTAGTAGTGACTAAATAAACGTATTGCTTCTCTAAAAGTGTATATATATATGTATGACTATATTTTCACTTTCCTTGACTTTGTTGACTACTGTGCTAGACTTTTATACAACCATTACAAACATTACTTATTTTCCTTATGTGATATTGATTTTGTTTTGTTGAATTCGTTATCTGGTCTGCATATATCTCTATGATTAATTTTATCAGTATGCAATACTTCATGTTTGGAGATCTATTTTTTGTCATTAGCTACGATAAAATGGTGTCAATTATGTTGTACATACCATACTCTCTAAGCTAAGCTGGACTAAAAAAATAACTTTGAGTTTGTTCACTGTTATAGTGAAACTAGCTAGACCTAAGGCTTCGCCCACGTGGTCCGAGGGGACAAGGGTTTGAAATTATAGTCATTTTATTGAAATCTTTTAATAATGACGTCGTCTTTTTGCTTGGAATTAGATATTAATCTTCTGGACTTTCAGATAAAGGCTTTCATTTTAAGTGTTTAAAACAGTCTGATGGTTTGCTTGTGCAAGATTCTACGTCTGATTCTCGTTGCAACTTGATGGTCAGCTTGTTCTTGCTCTCTCAATTCCGCATTTTTAGAGATTTTAATGCGTGACATGCGTGAAATTTTGCCAACGAATATTCTACCTACAAATTGGGGAGATGGTCTTCAGTTTGTATCTATCGAAAGAATATCGTTTCATGCACTCAGTATTTATTATTATGTATTATTTTAAAAAAAACGAGCAACTGCGAGTTGGACTCGTGCAGGAAGCGTCCCGTGTTGTTTTCAAAGGTGTTGTTCGAAATTTTCGAGTTAAATATATTTGGTCGACTATTTGTCGTAAATTAATAGAGACAATTTAAATGTGATAGTTTTCCTATTAAATTCGTTATATATAAATTTATTACTGTTGTAATGTTTGAGTTTCTAACAACAACAGTTTATTTGGTAGAGGTGGGACATTTGACTCTAACGAAAGTTGACATTTTGTAGTTTAATAAATAACGAACAATAAACTAAATCGAAAAACGGTCTCCCCACACCCCTAGTATTATTAAAAAAACACGCTATGGAAAGATACATTTTTTCGTCCTCAACTTTGCATATAGGGAAGGTTAAACATATTTTTTTAAGATTTTATTTTTCCACTTTGTCGGCGTGATCAAAGTTTATTATACTTATGCTATTTACGCTTTTATTACAAGTTTTTTTAAGCCAAACCGCAGACCGATGGACAGACTTACGGTCATGACGAAACTATAAGGGTACCTTGTTAACTATGGAACCGCAAAATTGTATGATAAAATCGGAAAAATGATAAAGAAAACAGCCACTAAAATGAAAACCACTAAAACGGGGTTTTGATTCATGTAGATAAAACAGCTAATTGTAACATTTTATTTTAGCCCGAATTATGTTATTGGAATAATCGCAAAAAAACATTACAAACATGACAAAAATCAAAGTCCCGTTTTTCAAAAAGTACAATAGCGTCAGTTAATGTAACTTATTTTTTTTTTCGCCCTATAAATAATTACCCATTAAATTATGTTATTAGAAAAACTTCTAAATTAGAAACGAAAATTATTTTATTGATAAAAATTGGGAAAAAACAAAAAGACTACAAACTTAAGGGTATCAATTCAAAATAATCAATTTTGTAATTTAAAAAAGTATAAAATCACTCGTTTTTGCAACAAATTCATTGGTGCTCCTGTCCTATAGGCCATAGCGTGATGTTATATAGATAATAGCCTCGATAAATGGACTATTCAACACAAAAAATAATTCCATTCGTTCCAGAAGTTCCTGAGACTATAGAGACCAACCAAACAAACAAACAAACTCTTAATCTTTATTAGCCTTCTCCAGTAATAATTCTTATCTAATATAAGTTTGTACATTGACAACGATTAACAAATCCTCCTTCCTGGAACCTCTTAATAGTTCAAGTGACTACGATTTCAATTAAACGCCAATTAGAAAA